GAGTAGATGAAGCAATTACTCAGATAAAAAATGGGAACAACTTTCAATATTAAGAATGATAACACTTCTCAGTCAGTTGCACTTCAACTGCAGCTTTTTGATAAACATTCTGTTGATAACGGAGTTGAGGTCTATCTAGTACAGGGGTCAGTGACCTTAACCTTCAGAGTCGGATAAAGACAGTTATAAAGTCGGCCTTCTATCACCTGAAGAACATTTCCAGGATAAAGAACACTCAGCAAGATCTAGAGAAACTCATCCATGTGTTTATCTTTGACCGCAACACAAAAATGACACAAACTTGATTTTTCTGCTCAAGGTTGGAGACTGATGCAGTTGTCATGGAGATGAAAGGATTTCTCAAACATGGATGAAAGAATCAAGGCAACACACCAGGTATGATTTTGATAAGAGAATAACATCATCACATGATGTATATCTAAAAAAGTCAATTTTACATAATACTACCCCTTTAATTCAGCTTCATATTATAGGGCACAATAAACATTTGGTGACTTTTACACAAAAGGTCGACTGTTGAACCTGTTAAATAAACTCAGCGAGATAAAACACAGGTTTCTGCAGAACGAGCAAATCATATTCTGTTTTCACTGCTGAGAATACAGAAAAAAATCTACTGAAAAACCATGAACATTGAGGATATATATTAAAATATCATATTGTATGTTCTACATACAATATGATATGTGTCTCACGGCTCTCTTTTCTATAGAAATCTGTGTTTGTATATTTTGTGTTTGTAGTTGTATGAAAAAAAATAAAATACTGTGAGAAATTCAAAGTTTGGAAATCACTACTTTTCATGTTTAGGAGACTTTGCAACATGAGATTGCAAACCACATACTTTCCTGAAAAATATGGCGGTTTTTAGAAAAAGTACATACATACACCGGGGTTTAAAGATTTTGTCAGGCGTAGGATTGGAGATGCTAAGAAATCTAACTTCTTGCACAAATTTCACTCCATCTCTGCTCCTCTTATAACAGCCTAGTAGACAAATAGTGTGACACACTCTGTGTATTGCACTATTGTGATGTAGTGTGATATAGTGTTATATTTGCGATAAATTCAGGCCAATAAATCGGCCTGATTTTAAGTAGAAAAAAAGAGTAAATTTCCACCAATAAACTCAAAACGCTTGAAAATAATCTGACATTTCCTAGAAAAAAAGGACGTTTCTGAGCTTGAAAAGTAAAAAAAAAAAACATCAACAAAAACAAGATTAATATCAGAAAAGTTTGAGATATCCATCTATGGTCATTGTAGATCATTTTTGAGATTTTTTGGCAGAAATTTGCTCCGTCGCCTTCTATCGACTTTGGCCAGAATAAGCCGTCGTTCGCACGCTGTTGTGTTTTTGTGGAGTCACGCTCACAATAACGGGCACAGAGAGGAGCCACAAGTCTAGAAACGCGCTGGAAATATGATGACGTATAGCGGTACTATTTATTCAGGGTTTACAGGGTGTGTTTATGCTGGGAGGGGCTGCTGGCCAGAACGGTAGTTAGGAAATCAAACCCTTACGATATGTAGGCTGGATAAAGAAAGCCGATGAGGTTACACAGCAGGGAGGCTCCGTAACCAATGACGAGGTAAACTGCGACCACGGCTATGACTCCTGTAGGGGAGGAAGAGGAGAAGGAAGACATCACACCACGAACACTCGTCTTCACAAAATTAACACTGTTGGACATAAATATCGCGACTGTATCGACTGTATTGTACTAAACACACGAGAAGACATGAAATATGTAACAAAACCACGATGACGTTCCGTTTCCATTTTGTCTTTTTCCTCCACGCTTCATCTCCTAAAATCACTCACCGGCAGCGATATACGTCCGGTTTACTCCAGTTCTGGCCTCGACTTTCGCGAGCGCATCTGTCATGAGGTTCTTCTCATGAAGGAACTTCTCAAATCTCTCCTTGAGACCTTGCGCCATGGCTGCGCTTCCTCCTTCAGCGATGCGGATGAATTAGGAAATGATGGCTGATGGTGGCGCCACACCCCTGAAACCCAACACAGCGCGAGCCGCAGCGCTCTGTGCGCCTGTGCGTTTCAACACACACCACGCCTCCGGCCTGGCCCTTCAAAATAAAAGTTTCGACTGACAATAAAGACATTCTTTTCAATGCACTAAAGAAGACAAACAAGTCCAATAGTAATCTAATCCGTTTGATTCAACCAAAACTATTCTAACACAGAACAATACATTCACATCAAAATCCTGGATCCATCCATCCATCCATCCATCCATCCATCCATCCATCCATCTTTTATTTAGTCTATCCAGCTCACACGCAACTCTTGTGTTTGTAGGAGCCGTTTATCCTTTCCGGTGTTTATCGCCACAAGGGGGCTTATTTTATTTTGTGTTCTGAGTATGTCTGAAGGGGGTCGGGGTTATTTAAGGTCAAGTGTTGCTAATGGTCTTCTATTGTGCTTGGTTTGGGTTTGTGGCTGATTTGTGTGGCTCTAAATGGACATTGTACAGAAAATAAATTACTTTATGATTATAAGTCATATTGACGATCAGCGTAACGAATCTTGATTGAGCGCACGTCAAACCAGCGCCTAATAGGAACAACAGCAACCAGTTGCCTAAAATGCAGGATTTTAGCAGCTACAGGGTTCACAGATTGTTTTTTTTTTTAAGGTCAAAATGGAAAACTCCCCAAATTTTTCACAGAAAAAGTCCAGCGGCCTCATGCATAAAGCGTGCGTGCGCACAGGAAATGAGCGGTGCCATATTTTACGCACAGGTTGGCATGTACAAAATGTAACTTTGCGTCACTGATTGCGTACATTTACGCACACCTTTTCGCTGGCTTGAAAATATGAGGCAGCCACGCAAACTTTTTATGTGGACAATATCAAACTGCAAAGCGTCAAAACTCACCTAAGTACACTAAAATATACATTCAGTGTTATTTAGACCAAGAAGCAACGTGCATGAAGTTTTTGTTTTTTTCCCATGATTTTTATATTTTATTGTTTAAAGTACAACAATGAAACTAAACCACATTTATCCTCAGACAATGACCGCTCCCCCCCCCCCCCCCCCCACACACGCACACACACACACACACACACACACACGCCCCCCCCCCACCCCCTCACCCCCCCACACACACACGCACACACACGCACACACACAAAGTAAAGAAAGAAAAATATAAAAGGATGCGAAAACCTCACGAGAATGTAAAAGATATTTCTTCAGTTTTTGTCTCGTAAAGATGAGACCGTTCCATGCGCCGAAGCGAATGAAATCCATATGGGGTCATTTCATTCTCACAAAATAAATCAATAAAACATGTTTGGATCAGCAGATTAACTCCAAACAGGTTTGATTATTTTTAAGGTGATCAATTGGAGCGTATGTATTCACACGTATTTAAGTAGATGCATAAAGGTGAGTCGCGTAATTGTGGGGCGCTTTGGCTATGATGGAGAACATCACCAATAGACGGATTCAGAGGGAGCGATTGATCAGAGATCCTATTCATCTGCTGGGATATATTGATGATGGTTTATTAATGTCTATTTTCTGAGCACCTTTCTCCCTAACGGGGTCAGGAGGTGCTGGTGCCTGTCTCCAGCTGCGTTCCGGGCGAGAGGCGGGGTACACCCTGGGCAGGTCGCCAGTCTGTTGCAGATATTATAATTCTTTTTAATTATTATTCCCCATTATTCCCATTTTCTTTCATCTCTCTTGTAGAACTCTTTATTAGCCACTGGGGGGCGCAGTGAACTTCTCTTTTTCACTTCCCCTCCTAAATGCCACTATTAAAGCCACTCTTTCTATAAGAGCGTTTGCTGCATCAACAGATGATAAACTATTAAAATACTGCAAAGGTTGTTTTTGTTTTTTTTCTGTTGCATCATATATCAGGCCAGAAGATGTTTCAGGCCATGACTCAGCTAGCTTTCCAAATGTTCAAAAGTTCCTTGTGTCTTTTTGCATTGTTTTAAAATGACACAAAAGTTTTTTCCAGGTATAGGTATAAATATAAATATTATTTTTTACATTGTATTGCAACAGGAGTGCAGTCTGACAAGTGCCATAAGATTTTTGTCCTTTCCTTGGTTTGCTACGTCTCTGTGGGAGTGTTAGGTTTATCATATTCTCTTGGCACAAATATTTAAATACACAGAGAAATAGAAGCAAAAGTTTTTTATTTAATGAACTTGGTTGAATTAAGTTATTTAAACTGTTTTCCAATATGACCAACTAAAAGCCATTTTTAATCTTTCATTCTGAAGTAACCTTATGGATCTGTGGCCAAAAAAAACCTTTGAGAAACAAGAAAACAAGTTTATTCAGCCCAAAAAGCGATGCAAGCCAGACTATTCTAGAGTGACATGAGGCCATCTGTCCGACAGCTGAAGCTGGACCAAAATGGGTCAGGCAACTGGACGATGTTCCCAAACACACGAGCCATATACTGTAACATGGCTGATGACTGTTGAAGAACAACCCAACTGAACGTGAGGTTGGACCTTCAGTGAGTTCAGAAACATCTGGACACTCAAATCATTTGGATGTTGTTAATAAAATGGGTTTTAGAAGAGATTGGAACGTATCATTTTGAGATAATGTTCAAATTTTTAATTGATTACTATTTTACAAAAAATACTAATGGTATTGAAAATGTTCTTTGGTTTTGTACATTCAAGTTTAAATTTAGATAACTTGACAGATGGTGATTTGTCCTGACACATAAAACCCAACAACTAACAAAGACTCTACCTCCATTTTCCCATCATGAACAGCAGTTAAAGTGAGACACATGAGCAGAGCAGAGAGAGCATTAAGTGCTCGTCCTCAGTGGCTGGTAGCCAGTGGAAAATGGCTGAATAAACAAGGTTCACAGCAGCATCACCTGCAAATGACTGATGAGATTAAACGTAGTAAGCTGCTTTATGTTGAGAATAGCAACAATAAGTGGAGCAGTCTGAGAGCTGCAGACAGAGAGGCTGCTGCCGCGTTGCCTGGGACCGGCTCCTACCTTCTCATTTAATTCACTCCTGCAGGACTGCACAATAACATGTAAGTCTGTCTTTTCTTTATGTTGTACATTTAAATGTGCCGTCATTAGAAACACTGTGTCCTGTCTGCTATCGGTTCCCCAGCATTAGACTCACTTTGTTTTAATTTCCGTTGAAGAAAATTTTGAGTTGGCATTTCACAAGTAGTGTTGTAATCATTTTACTTGTCTCCATACACATTCAGGATCCTTCAGATATAATCATTCTTCAATTTAATGACTCAACCTTTATTCGAAAGATGTTTGAAATCTGGAAATGAGTTTATACTGTGTGAGGAACACAAGGATGGTGGAACTTGTAGCACAGCCAAGAACTATTGTAACATGCCTAACTGTATTTCTATCTTTTTATTGTTGTGGCAAATCACAACAAAATACCTGGCTTTGGATTTTAGATACTTACAGCCTTGGGATAATCCAAAAGCTTGACGGTTTCTGTGATTCATCTTCCAGCTGACGTGTGGCTGTTGGATTTAAGAATGAGCAAAAGGGGGAGGAGACGGAACAGCAGGAGGAGGAAGAGCTCCAGCAGCAGCAAACGTGAGTGGGAGCAGTTCCATCAGATTAATCAAGGGCTTAACTCGCTCACGTTTTCTGTGCACCTGCAAGCTTTGAATTGAGCAGAAAAGTCTCCTGCCTGGAGTTCCTCCATCTTGGAAAGGAGTAACAGGAGCTCTCATTGGCTCTCAATGCGTCATGCTCAGCAGCAGGTTCAGAGTTTTACTGTAAATTGTCTGTAGTTCCTAATATGTGAAGATCATAAACCAGATGTGTTAGACACAGATTTTCTGACATTGTAGAAATATAAAAGTTCTTCTGTGTTAAATGAATGTCAACTTAACAAATTCTAAACAAAAAAAATGTTCAACTTCATAGTAACATACAGAAACATTAATCAAATTTTGACATTTTAACTCCCAAATTTTCTGTCATAAAACCCATAAAAATGACATAAATGAAAGTTTTAATTTATTAACCTCATAATGTTGATACATATCCATCAACTCTCTAGTAGAAATGATTCTATGTGATCACAAATCTATTTTCTCTTTGCATTTTTTAAGTTTCATGATTTTTAGAATATGACAATAAGTACATTTACACTTAAAAGTCATAAACTTACAGTGGAAAGGTATTCACACCTCTTAAACTTTTTAAACTTGTCTTTATGTTACAACCCCAAATGTGTTGTTCTAATCAGTGTATTTGAAGATACATTGTATCTAAATACAATGTATCTTAACGTTGTGATTCACAGCATTAAGGTCCACCTCGTGGCTCTTATTGGTTGTTTCTAGTCATCTATTAACCTCATAATAAATGAGGTTTATTAACAACCAATAAGAGTATTGGTTGTTTCTAGTCATCACTGGGAGAGGGCAGAAGAATTCATAAAATTAGCAAACATCTCTTTTGTTTTATTTCAGAAAGTTCCTCCGCCTTTCTCTTTCAAAGCCAGAGCAGCAGTACAACAGTCAGCTACGAGAAGGACCTAGCTGGAAAGCATGGAGAAAACTCTCTTCAAAAAGAAAATGTTCTGACCGGATATGAAGATCAACAAAATGGTCACGCTCCACCCAGCCAAAAAAGATGGAAACAAGACTTTAACATGGCTGCATTTCAGGAACAAAGGAGTGTGTACACAAAAACAACGGAGCTTGAAGAGCAAGGAGTGAAGATAGTAACATCAGTGTCCAAAAATGACACGGAAAAATCCCAAACTGTCCAAATCCAACAGTCACATGAGTCTTTAAATGACGATCCAACTAACTCATCTACACCCGTAACAAACATCTTCAATGTCAGCTGCACTGGGTCACATGTGAAAGTGGAAATCCAAGAAGTTCGACAGGGGAATCCTTATGGGATGAAGACCACTTGCGTTTTTATGAATGAAAACAAGGCTTCTGAGGTCATCATTAACCAGGAATATGAGGGGATGCAGATCCCTGACCATCAGCCGTTGGAGCAACTCCCAAAAAACGTGACTAGTCACAACCAGGAGATAAATTATAGGTTTACGTTTGGCAGCATAAATGAACAGACAAAGCAACAAAGTGACTCAAGATCAGTCTGCTCATCAAACGTACGTGGCGATCCGAATTACTGTCGTTGTTGCAGTGATTACATCCAACAGAACCTGGCTAAACATTTATTGGGTTCACCATCACTATTGGATGGTAATATTCAGGGAAAGAAGCCAGACGCTTTGAACAGGGATCGGCTCTTCAATATCTCAACACCCCGAGTCTTTGGCGACATTAAATGCAGCAGCTCTTTGGAAGACCTGACAAATAACCTAGCTTCCTTTAGGATAGGAGGTCCAGCAGAATTAGCATTCCCATTTTCTGCACTGGAGAAGGAAAAAGAAGATAGGACCCGTTCCTTTGATCAGCTATCAGAATCAGATAACTATGAGCCTATGTTCATTCGGCCCTCCGTGTCTACAGACAGGTCCAGCTTTGTCAAAGATTTCATCTACTGCCAGAAGAGAAAGTCCTGGATCAGAAACAACAGCATCGCCACCGTGGAGCACAAGGAGTGTCTGTTAATGAGGAAAAGACGGCAGACGTTTCCTGGAACGTCTCTTGATCCAGAACTGATTCATGAGGATGTTCTGCTCCCGTACAAAGAATCAGTCTCTTCGTTCGTCGTGTGCCGTCTTCCTTTCCAAACTGAGAGGCTGGAAAAAAACAAGCAGCTGGATGACATATTTTCTACATATGTGAGAAAAAAATGTGTTTCTTCACAAAGTAGAGAGAGTTCTAAAACTTGCTCAGACAGTTCAGAAACTACCGGAGAACTTACAGGCATGGAGCCTGACAGAGAAATGAGCCCAAAACTTTATGTGGAAGAGATTATTGAAGGAGGCCTTGCTATACAAGTCATCCCTCCATCCTGCAGTGGTTCAGAGGAACAAATCCTACAGACGACTCTCACGGATGCCAAGGACCAAGATGACAGAAGTTTCACACAAAGTAATTCTGATTCCACTTCACCAGAATGCTCAGTCATGACATCACCTGTTGATGCTGTTCAGCACAACATCCTGTCAAGGTCAACATCTGAGGAGACAGACATGGATTCCCTAAATAAACACAATGTTGCCATGGAAATCGAGTCAAACCCGACTGCAAAGTCAGTTAGTTGCCTTCCACTTCTGCTTGTTACTGATGAGCTGAATGATAAGGAGGTGGTTGAAAATAGGCCTTCAGAAGACGCCAACAAAGCAGCAGACGGTTTATTATGTGTAGTAAAACCATCTACAGACCTAATTCTCCATGCAAAGGAGCTGCCTGTTAAAGTCGGCAAGGCAGAGAAACCCACTGTGTACAGATGTAAGTTGCAGTTTTATCTTTTTTTATCAGTCGACTAAAACTGTCCAGAATAAAACTGATCTGGTGTGACCCGTTATGACTCCAGCGAACTCCGAGGCTAGAGAGCATCTGAAGCCTGGATCTCACAAAGACAGAGACGGCACCGACCACTGGGCCAGGAAGAGAAAACTCTTCAAGGAGAGCAAGCAGTGGAGCTCTGCTGGTGGAAGTTCAAATACCAGTGACATCACAGAGGAATCAGGTAACTATTAATTATAATTGGATCAAACTGAGTCTCAAAGTCTGAAGTTGCAGTTTTCTAATAGAAAATGGGAACATGCTCCTTTCAAAGTGGGCATTAGTCTAACCCATGGAGGAATTTAAGAATTGTGTTCCCAAGTGATAGTGGCATGAAACAAAAGATGGACAGATTGTTTTTCTTGTGGTCTGACTACACAAATCCTGCAACAGAAGGGAAATGTCGTGTCTTCCCGAAACTTCTGCAAGTTTTGTAAAGTAACTTCACTAGCTTCTTCTGTCTTGGCCAGAAGGAATTTTGTTTTTGCTCTTAGTAAAACTGTGTCCTTATGTAGTATTTAATGTCTTCAAACAATTTATTTTTTACTGTCACCCGTGGGAAAAAGAAATGGATCGTGATGAAAATAGCAAGATCCAGGATGTAGGCGGTTGGAAACTGGGTGACGGCCTCCATCATCCAGAAAGAGCCTGGAGTAAAGCAGCTTCTCCTCCACTTTGAAAGTCGACCGTTTATCTGGTTCTTACATCTAATCGGGATCTTCCTAAGGTCCTCGTTTTTGAGGTTTTTATGTTCATGTTTCAAAGGAAGATGACTTTAGGGCAGAAAGTGCTCAACGTAACCATACTTCCCTTCTGACCCGGGATTGTGGGAAGAAGGATGTCTTGGTTTTGGTTACACCTGCAACCTGTTCTCAGACCAGTGGAGGACAATGGACTGACTGACAGTTAGATTCACTGATCTGGACTGATCACTACCACAGAATTTAGATTAGATGCAAATGAAAAAATGTGTACTGAACTTGTCTTTGACAGATTGCTAGTTTATCGCAATGTTGAAAGAGACTCAGAGGAACAATTATCCACATTTGAACTGAGCTCAAGCCCAACGTGCTGCATCCACCTAGTTCTGGTACCAAAATATGGGCTCCATTATAGCACCGTAAAAAGGATATTATTTTAATGAAACTAACAACACACACATCTTGACTGAACCTGAGAGGTTGTCTCTCTGTATTGTGCTTAGTGGTAAGGTGGCCAATCCACTGTTACTACAACTCAACAGGCCCGTCATCGTCTGTTTTGGTTCTTTACCATATTTAGTGTTGACATTTCACATGTCTTTTTCTAGTATCAGAGGATACACTTTCTACAAATGTGACAGTTCAAGACAATGAAGACAGAGGGTTGTACGCAGAGTCATTCCACTCTTCAGCGTGGATTTACCAAGGAGACGACATAAACTCAGGTGCCATCGGTCCCAATCTCACAGTCAGAACGCGTGCTGTCTCAAGTAAGCTAATGTTGAAACTCTATAAGAAAACGTATGTAGTCTGGGGTTTTCACAGTGGTCAAAATGCCTTGAGTATCATGAATGTAGGACGGGTTTGAATGTTTTGTCTAAATTCTCTCCCCAGTTCGAGAGAGGACTGTTCAAATCAGCAAAGGGACAGGAGAATATCCCTGGGGCTTTCGAATACAGTTTTCCAAACCCATTGTTGTCACTGAAGTTGACACAAGTAAGTGATGAGTAATTCTAAGTGATTTAACTTTTTTGAGTCAGCAGAACAACTCATAGAGAATTTATTAGTCAAATGTAAACAGGATCTTTTCCAGATTTTGGGTACATGAATGCTGAGTGTATTTCTCCTGCAGAAAAATGAACAAACATGTAGTTTTGTATTCTGACATAATTAAACTAAGTTGATGTTATTACAATGGCTCATTCATTTTCTAAATCAAAAACTCGCCAATTGACAGAATATAATTTTCTTGTCCAGAGGATATTGTGTTTATTTTTCTTCGTAGGGTCATACATGTGATCTGTTTGCTTTCAGATGGAGCTGCAGAGGAAGCGGGGCTAATAGTAGGCGACTACGTCCTTGCTGTTAATGGAATTGACGTTACCAGCATTCCTCATTCGGAGGCAGCTAATTTAGCCAGACAAGGTATGGAGTTCTGTCAGGTTTAACACCAGGTTAAACAGCAGTATGTGCTTTTTTCTTTTTTTACTTGTGTATAAAGAGGTCAAAAATGACCAAAAAATAAATATTTATCTAAATATCTATCTATCTATGTATCAAGGTGAGTGAATCTTCAACAGTGCAGACAAAGCGTCTGCAGAGCAAAGCATGATCTTAGTTGAGCTATTATTTTGTCAAAGTGGTTAAGCTGAAATTTGACACTGATCAAAGTTGTAATATTTATTCTAGGTCCAGATATTCTAACATTGACCATTGGATCAGACATTGCTCGGGGTCCTAACACACCCAGACCACCATGCCGTGGTTACCTCCATAAGCGAACCCAGTCTGGTCTAATCAAAGGCTGGAGGAAGAGGTGGTTTGTTCTCACACACGACTGCTGCCTGTACTACTTCAAAAACAAACGAGTGAGTATAGGCAGAGGAATGCTTGCTCTGAAGATAAACATCTGTAGAAAAATCAAATGCCTCTAATGGACATGACTCCATTTGTAATCCAGGACGAAGGCAAGCGGCAGCCGTTATCCTCAGTGAAGCTGGAAGGTGCTGAGGTGGGACCGGATGATTCCCTGGGCAAGCCGTTTGTTTTCAAGTGTCGCCCTCAGTTTGGCAGTCGGGTGTACTCTCTCTGCGCCACTTCCAATCAGGAAATGAAAAGGTAACATTGGACCAAATGAATCAAATATGTTTATAAAGTCCGTTCTTCAGACTCTAATTTGAAGCAGCATGAATTTAAGTCTGATGACATATTTTAGTGTCATCCATATTCCATCAATATGTTACTGAATAATTTTTTGGTCTTGATTCCTTTGTGACTGCAGATGGTGTGAAGCTATGGAAAGAGCTGTTCATCCCATTACACAGGTACACCAAAGTCTGTCAAAAAATGACCTTGTTTTTATTAGTAAAGCCTTTGAATCGCAAATTTCTCTGACTTTCATACTTATCACAATATCATGTTTTACATAAACACTGAGATTATTTTCTGTTTCAGAACCATGTGTGGATTGACGTCACAAGACACAACTCCAACATGCCGCCGCTGGCTGTGAAAAACCCGGAGTGTCTGGGACTGCTCAACAAGCTGGACAGGAGTAGAGACATGTGGGTCCAGCACTACTGCATCCTGAAAGATGCGTGTCTCTACTTGTACAGCGGCATCCGCTCCACCCACGCACATGGTAGGAATCCATGCCAGGTTAAGCCGTTGAAGCCTTGCCAGCAAATGTAGCGTTGGTGTTAAATGCTGTCATATATTTAATTGTTTTATTATACATATACATTATAATTTGCTTTCTATATCTGAATGAATTAATTGTGTATTACACTGAGATGAAAGACTTGGGCTGTCATGAATTTTTAATTTCTGAAATTTTTAATTTCTGAAATATATTTATCAGTCCGCCGCATTGTCTCTGCTTTTAGGTGGGATTTACCTCCAGGGCTACGCGGTGCGGGAGCAGGCCTATGGATCCAAAAAGTCCACAATTGAACTGAAACCTCCGTCTGATGAGTTCAAGACGTTCTACTTCTGTGCCGACAATTCATCTGAAAATAAACGGTAAGGAGTTGGCTCTTTGAGGCTCTTTACAGGCTTCATCAGGCAGCATCACATCAAGGTCTGACTGTCATGTCTGACAGTCAGCATAACTCAATCTGTGATAAACCAGTAGAGCTGCTGTTTGGGCCAGAGCTCTTCTGCAGAACAGACTGAAAGAGAAATCTCCTCACAAAACGTCCTAATGTGTAGTTTTATCCTATAATTTTATTTCAAGATAAAAACATGACACGTCGACAGAAAACCTGAAGTTTTCAAAACAGGCATCAATGTATCTGATCAGCTTCGACGTCCAACATGCATTCTCAGTGATTTTATGATGGTTTTGTTTGTGCTCTACTAGATGGATTTTAGCCATCAAAGCCTCCATAAAGAAGTGGCGGCCATTTCACCAGGTCCTTCAGGACTACATGAGCCTCCCACCAGAAGAAACCAGAATGTGAGGAACAGCTGGACGCTGTTAGCAGCCTGAGGACCGAGACGAGCTTCCGATATGATGACAGCTTCACCGCTCCCACTGTGCTGGAGTTATGAAAATATTCTTGCTCGTAAATGTTCATGCCATTAAAAATTGTCCTCATTCTGACAGGGTGTCAAATGAGATTTAAGAAATGTAAATAAAAGTTGATCAAGTCTGACTTCTGGTTTTCTCTGATTTCTCATTGAGCATTTGGCTGAAACTTTCTCTGAAGGGTGTGCATGAGACTGACATGACACTGTCATAAGCATGAAGTATTTATGACTGACATCATGAAGTGTCATTCTGTAAATAATGGCATTTTGATTGCAAAGCTGAACTTTTAATGCACTGAAACTTGCATTGAAAGAATCAACTTTGCACTAAAAGTATTATTATTTGCAGAATGACATTTACTAACAACAGTCATAAACGTTCATGACTTCACGTTCATAACCGGTGTTGTCATATTTATGACAGTGTCATGTCAGTCTTGTGCACACCCTTTCAAATAACATGCTACTAGTATTTGTGAAACTTTTCCAGAGACAAATACATTGAATCAATGATAGTTTTTATTTTGAAGGTCCGAGTTAAAAATGTTATTTTGAAGGTCTTGATCCTGTGTTTTGCAAAGACTCTGAGTTCAGTGGTTTGAAGCCTTCTGGCTGCTTCGCCACATTCACAATGAAGCCCGACCTGAAGCCTCCTTCTGTGGTCCTCCTCCTCGTTGGACTGTCTCTCCCTGTGGACGGCTGTCCTCCAAGCTGCAAGTGCGATTGGAAAACCAAACGTGCATCATGCACTGGAGTTGAACTTGTGCCTGTTTTCCATTTGTCCTTTCAGGAGGTGTAAGTAATGAAGTTTTTGACTCAAATGTTAGTTAGCCAGTGGAGTTGGCTGATGCATTTCTCATTGTGTTTTAGGTGGCTCGTGAGGACAAAGCTTGCTTCCATTCCTCAAAATACTTTTGCCAGTTTGCCCAACATTTCTCACATGTAAGATTTTTATTTTCATTAACAGTAATTTCTTTGAAATATGTAGAAGTATCTTACAAAATGTGATTAAAGTGAAACTCAAGGCAACTTTTAATGATATTGAGGAAACTGAAAATTATCCTATTTATTAGCTAAATCATTTAAACTAAAACACAACTGTTTTTCTACTATAGTTGCAGTATAGATGTTCAGAAAAACTGACCTTTTATTTGCAAACTCAAATAAATATGCACACACATTTCTTCATCACCTGGATTTATTATACAACTATTATTCCAACATTATGATGAGCTAAAATAATCTTTAATCTCACAAAACTTGTCTTGACCCTTTAAAAAATGCTGCTTGTGGTACTGTGATATGTGAGTTAGATACATGCTCTTTAAACTAAACAATCTTCTTCTGCCAGTTACAAATGTTGAACTGAATGCACATTTAGTCTGTTCATTGCATGGATTGTTTCAGTGCATGTTGGTAGCCTTGAGGGCCGACATTGCTGTGAAACATAAACATAAAAAGCTTTGACAGAATAAGGTTTCTGGACATCTGATGCCATCAAGATAGGGTGACTTGTGTGTGCTGCAGAGATGAGTCAGTCTGACCAACACAAAGATGGAGACAAAAGTGTTTAAAGAAAGAGAACAGTTGGAGAGTGTTTTGAAAGTGGTGGCCGCCAGGGGGCGCAGTCATGTTGCCTGATAGAAAGTTTCCATCACAGAACTGACTGGCAACTAAAATCAGAAGGCATGAGGCAGCATTTATGTCAAATGAATGTAATAATTACTTAAAAGTAAATCGAACTGAGAAAAAGAATTAAATTCAATGTTTCTTTACATATTTTGTAGCATTGTCTTTGTGTTTGCAAAGACAGTTCGGGAGGCCATGGCAGGGAAAAGTTTGAGAGCCTTCTGGTTGAACATTTTATTTTGTTCTCCATCTAATCTTGTTTTGTTTTGCCTTTGAGTGTCTGCCACACGGTCAAGACCCCAACTATTAAACAGGATTATGTCTTTTCATGGTTACCAAATCGGTTTTGAATTCTAATGAGAGCATCCATGTTAATCTCAGCCAGATGCAACAGCTGATGTTTTATTTTTGATGTTTTATTTTTCTGTGATTACTGTGTTCCTTAGTCATCTGTTGGTTTTATCCTCTGGAAGGAGCCATATAAATAATGTTTACTTTACTATATATGAGTGGATAAAAGTAATTACCTTGAACAGCTACTGAACCAAAAGTTCACTTCTGTTAATAACAAGAGTAACATTACAAGAGCGTTTGAGTGAATAACTTCTTGTACCAGGATTTACTCAAGACACCGCTCTAGCCCACTCAAATTATTATTTCAAAAAGCAAAAATAAATGCATTGTTTTTCAGATCAGTTAAAATACTCTGTGAATAATAAAGGTTCTGTTTTTTGTGCTTTTTAAAATATTTTTTACAGATACATCTCTGATGACAGTGCCTTAAGATCTCTTGAGAGATATTCTTTCTACAATCTGTCCAGCATCATGCACATGTAGGTGAGCTGTCGACTTCAAACAGCTTTACTTGTCTTCCGTTTGTCTTCACATTCTGGGGCACAAAAGTTAATTAATTTGAATACTAATAACTTCTCATTAGTATTCAAATGAGAATGCTCATTGGACTGGAATATATTACATAAGGATTCAGTTAAATAAGCTTCATTGGGTGATTATTTTCAAGAAAAAAAGCAGGAAAGACCAAAAGCATCATTTCTTCTTACTGTGTGTCAGATCTGCTTGTGTGCATGTGATGTGTGTACACATGATGGTTGTGTCTGTGTGTCTAACAGAGAGCTGCACAGCATCAAAACACTGTCACACATTGATCCAGAGGCATTCAAGGAACTTCCCAACTTAAAATATCTGTAAGTCTTTGTTTATATGTTTAGCATTTAAGGGTATTTGTTTTTTTAAGAGAGTAAATGAATACACTGATCCCTGGGAATTCAAGAGATTTGGGACAACAACCTCCTGCAAATAACTAGAATCCTCGAACACTTGACACCTCCTCTGATAGACTAATAGACTAATCAATGGTGCTCCTGGATTGGCTGCTTTGAAAACACCAGAGTGTCAAGTAGATTTAGAAGCAACATAGCTCAGATTCCCAACCCGCATTTTCTCTCAGATATTTTAGATTTGTCCTCCGAAAAAACTCACAAATTGGCTAAAATAATTTAGATTTAATGTTCCACAGAGAAATCTAAAAATATTAACCTATGACAGGTGAGGGTCCACTATAAACTTTTCATTACTTTCCCATTCTGCAGTTACTGACGTGGATGTGTCTCATTGCAGTGGGATCACCAACACGGGTCTGACATCATTTCCTGCCTTACAATACATTCAGTCGAGACAGGAGGATTTCATTTTGTATGTATTCTAGAGGTGTAAGAAAACGTTGCTAAACAGGAGAAACCTCAACGTGTTTCACCTGGTGTGAATAATTTAACTCATTTTGTCTGTTTATTCAGGGAAATAATGGAAAATGTCCTCCTACGAGTGATCCCTGCCAACTCCTTCACTGGAGTATCTGAGAACGCTATGACAGTGTAAGCTGAAGTTAGTTGAAGTCAGCCAAGACAATTTATAGCAAATTAGTAATTTCCAGTCATTTTTCTTAACTAATTAGGCACTTTGAGCAAACCCTTTTAGGCATCAAACATAACAGTCACATTCAATTAATTTGGGTATTTTAGAAAAAGTTCATGACACATTAATTACAGTTGGTCATTTTCCTAAAAATGTATATTTTCTCCAAACTGTCACCCTGCTGTGACAGCACAATAATCTGTGAAAAAATCCATCGCCTCCACATCCTCCCTGAGCTGCTATTGCACCACTCCTGACTAACAACAGCCAATCAGAGCCAGGAGGAGGGGCTTAGCTCTGTCAATTAAGCTCATGTACTCGTTGCTCAATGAGCTAATGGTGGAGAAACAACAGACTGTTACAGGAAAAGTGTTTATGCGCTGTCATCGGTCGCCATGCTACAGCTACAGCTACAGCTTACTGTCAGTACAGTAAGTACATATTTACATAAGCAGGGCAGCTTGGAAGTCGCAGTCTGTGAAGTTCACATCATGCTCGCTATAAATGAGACTTTGAGCACTTCATTATTTATCTGAAACACCGTAGAGTTATGAGATGTTTTTATGTTGCACCATGTGAACAGCGTTCTTTGTCTCATAGCATGCTTAATGGAAACGGTTTGACGGAGATCCAGGACTACGCGTTCAATGGCAGCCAGCTGGAAGAAGTGTGAGGCCTTTGGAATCAATAATAAAAAAATATAAAAATATTGAGAACTCGAAGGAGTAACACTATGTAAAAGTCATCACTGTTATATTGACACACCATTTTAGATTTTTTTGGGGAGCTCATGTTACACGTTTAGAAATTAGTTCCCTGTTTTTTCTGCCAAACACACATTTTCTGGCATATTAGCAGTACTGTTTCAAAAAGAAAAAAAGAAAAAAAGAAAAAAAACTATTGATTGATCACTTTTTTAAAATTCTCTCTTTGCAATTCCAGATATCTTCACAGGAATATGGATTTGGAACATATAGCAGAATATGCATTTTATGGGGTGATTCATGGCCCCACTCACTTGTAAGTATATCAATAACTCAATGTGCGTTGATTCATGTGGTCACAACTTAGTTATCGGACATGCAGAATGTGCGTTTACCCTTTATTTAATTGTACCCAAATTTTTTAATAACAGTCAAGGGCAAAATTATTCATTCCCCAAGCAGATTTAGTTTTCAAATGATTTCATTTGAAACTGCTTCTGGCTGAATGTCTCTTCCAGAATCATTGACCTGTTTACAGTCATGTCACAGAAACTCAATGGCGCTTGAGTCCAGACTGAAAGAAGGCCTCCTTTCTTTGAGTCAGTCAGGTGTGAAGTCGATCTTTGTTTTCTTTTTTAGTTCACCAGGTTTTTTATCCTGGAAACTTCCGATGGATGCGATTTTTCATCAGCCTCTCTTTTTTGTGTTGAAGCCTGCAGCGCTTCAGATGTCGCTCTGGGTTCTTTAAATGACCTCAGTGAAAGGTCACCACTGTTCCATCTTTTCTCTGTCTGTAGATAATGACACTCGAGCTTGGCTGGACTCACAAAGACTTTTCCAGATTGATAGATGTTGTCAACCTTGTAGCAATTATCATCTGTTATCATAATTCTCTACAAAAAAATTGATGATTTCCTTTTTAAATATTTTATTTCTGTTTCAATGTTTTTGTAATCAGGCAGTAATCAAGCCTGAGTGTGGCTAAAGAAACCAAACATTAAAATGCGGTTCACCACATAAGTTCGACCAAATGAACCATGATACTATTTTTAATTCCTGATTGATCAAGGGCGCTTGTGGTTCCTATAGCCTATTTTCAATTAATAAGTTAAATCATCGTTCAAAAATTACATTTTGAATTTACTCCATTGATCTTTGATGTCAGCACATGTTTGATAAAGGGGGCAAATGCTTTTTCACATAAACATTCTGACATCAAATCACTGCATGATTTTAAGTCTAAGTTAAATATAAAATCCCAGTGTGAGTGAATTCCTTACTCTCATTTCTTCTATCATTCCAGAGACCTTTCAGAAACCAAAGTACGCTCTCTGCCTTCAATAGGCATGAGCAGCATTGAGATCCTTCAAGTTCGTAAAACATGGGCACTCAAAGCTCTGCCTCCTTCTAGTGCTTTTCTTCATTTGCAGAGTGCTCACATGACCTTCGCAAGCCATTGCTGTGGCCTTAAAACGCTCAAAAGATGGAGAAGGTGAGTAAGAAAACAAAAAGTGCTGGAAACGGTTCCCACGTTCCTCACATTCCAATCAACTTCAGTTCTCACAATGCAACAAGTTCATGTGAAGACACAAGTTGCAATGTGAGAATATTATTTATTATAGATAAATAATGATACATACGGAAGAGGATTAGGGCCACTGGGGGAAAAAAATAAGACAGTTTTGACTTTAATCTAAGAATTCTGTGAAAAAAGTCAGAATTCTGAAAACTTTTTTTTGTTTCATTTTTTTTCCAGTGGCCCAATCCTCTTCCTTAAATACAAGACTTGTTTATGACTTTATATTCTGTTTATAAAGCAAAAGGTACAGTGATGTTTAAAATTGGTTGAAGAAATGATAGGGTTGATAAAATTGGCCAACGAACTATGATTTTTCATTTTGGACCTATTTGCTAAGTTTCAGATTGTAACATGTTTTAGTAAATGTAAAATTTTATAGGAACAATTGCTGCATTTCTATTACAAATATGTGCAAATCTATGTCTATATTCCAATAAAATGTGAAAAAAACATTGCACTGTTTCAATTAAGTAAAAATTTAGATTAAAATCACACGCGAATAAGCTTGTTCACATGATAAGTCATTAAAAATTATGGCAATGACAAGATGTAAATATTGCATGAGGTATATTCATAATTCAGCCATAGTGCTAGTGCTGGTCATCTATCAGCCAATCAGAGGAGAAGTTGGCGTCTTGACAAGCCCTGCTTAGTTGGGAGGGGCTTTCTGTGCAGCATTTTGGAGAAATTGTAGTCGGCCATTTTGCAGGAGAGCTGCAGATTCAAATTGTTGGAATGACAGGATCACAGTTCAACATTTTATGAACTGTGATGCATAAAACTCTGGTGGAGTCAGCTGCACATTGTCTGAAAAAAACAAACAAACTAAAACAAACCATCATCCTCCGACTGCTTCCTGTCTTCTTTGTCATTTTCACCAGTAATAACATCCGGTTGTTTATCACGTGACTCATATGATTCGTTACTACAGAAAAGCCACCTCATCCTAGCGCAAAAATGTTTAATTAAAAACATGTTTTTACAAAATCGCTTTGTTTCTGTTAAGCCAATTTATTTTCGTAATTTCATTTTGCGTAATTTTATGGTTAATGCAAACCTAGCTAGCGACTGACATCCTATGAAAATGTCGACAGTGACATTTTAATAAGATGGGACTGAACGTGAACCATATCGTGACACCTGAGGGTAGGGTTAGGGTTAGGGTTAGGGTTAATTGTTTGCAACAATTAAAACATTCTTGTGTTTTGTCTCTCCAAACAGAGAAGAACATTTCTGTAACCAAACCAGGGCTGCTGTCGCACAGGTTCAGGAAACCTTCACAGTTCTGGGAAACGATCTGCCCCAAGATCTGAAAAACAACTTCCAGACCCAAACTTACCATCGAAACAACCCCGGCACTGGGTGTCTGGACGAACAGGCTATGGATGAGGGCTTGTTTGTTGTGGATTTATCCTCAGAGGAGAGAGGGGAAGAGTTGGACTTTGCTCTGTGTCTTCACCAAGATACCGGGCCGTTGTGCACGCCTCTGACTGATGCACTGAACCCCTGTGAGGACGTAATGAGCCAGGGCTTCCTGCGGGTGTTGGTCTGGGTCGTTAGCTTGTTAGCCATCTCAGCTAACTTGTTGGTACTCTTCATCCTGTTGACATCTCAGCAGAAGCTTTCTGTCACCCGTTTCCTTTTGGGTCACCTGGCTTTTGCCGACGGCTGTATGGGGATGTACTTGCTGCTGATAGCGTCAGTCGATTACTACACGCATTCTAACTACTACCATTATGCTATTTCCTGGCAAACAGGAAGTGGCTGTCAGCTGGCAGGGGTTTTATCATTGTTTGCCAGTGAATTATCTGTGTACACATTGACTGCAATCAGCTTCCAGCGCTGGCATGCGATTTCCAACGCCATGAGGCCGGACAGACAGATGAGGCTGCGGCATGCGGCAGCGCTGATGCTCATTGGATGGGTACTTTGTGGGACAGTGGCCTTTTTGCCAGTACTTGGTGTGAACACTTACCAGAGAGTGAGCATCTGTCTGCCCATGGACACCGAGACAGTCGTGGCCCAGTTTTATATTGTTTCTGTTCTAATTCTAAACATAGTGGCGTTTATAGTAGTATGTCTGTGTTACCTGCACATCTACTGCATGGTGCACAATCCCCAGCATGATTCCAGTCGATGTGACACCAGCATGGCCAAACGGATGGCTGTTCTTATCTTTACCAACTTTCTGTGTCTGGCTCCTATTTGTTTCTATGGATTGGTGGCAGTCTTCCACCAGCCACTGATGACCATCTCTGATTCCAAGGTTTGCATTTTCCTCTGGATAGTGGACCCCTGTCTATTCGACCCCTGTCTGTTCGATATTCATGGATCAACTTATTTGATTTCTGTCTGGAATGTGACTCCAAGCTATTTAGGGGAAATCTGGCTATCTCCTGATTATTTTTCCATAGAGTTCATCTGCAATATTCTAAAGAAAATGCAGCATGGGAAGCTGAAATTCCCAGAAGCAATGCTGCTATTGTTTGGTGTTTAAAAAAGGACCCAATCCAAAAATCCCATTTATTATCGTTAGCACTGATTGGCTGAACCCCCAAGAGTAGTTTGGAAGTTCTGCTAGCATTAGCTAATAGCATTAGTTAATATGACACAAGCTTTTGTGCTATCGTGTGTGTTAATGTATGTGGAGGTATATTTGGTGATTGAACAATTACAATAAGCAGAGACAGTGCTAATAACAAGTATTTACCCTCTTCAGAGCAGATGCTCTTGAACAGAACCCATCACTATTACTCACTATTTTATAAGCAATAAAAAGGACAAAACATTCAAGGAGGTGAATATTTACACTTCATAAAAGCAATATTTGAATGTTTTTAGAAGAGATCTCAAGTCTCAAGTGCTCATGGACTGCAGACAGTCCATGTGCACACTTGTGTTTCTTATCCCACATAAATACTCGAGATCCACTATAGTTTAAATTCAGATGTTTAACTTTTTCTTAAAATAATAACAAATTTGTATTTTCTCCGCAGGTGCTGCTCGTGCTCTTCTACCCGCTGAACTCTTGTGCACACCCGTTTTTTTACGCCATCTTAACCAAGGCGTTTCACAGAGACATCCTGATGCTGTTCAGTCGGATGGGGCTTTGCCAGAAGCAGGCGTACCACTCTCGAAGCCAGTTCCTCTGCATCACTCCTCAAGTTTACAGAGAGACTTTGCCTGGCCGAACTGCCAGTCAGCAACATCCTGAAACATGACCCACGTGTTTACTTCTAAAACATATTTAAGTACAATCTGATAATGTCCTTCTTCATGTCTGTTATTATGAATTACAGCAAAAAAAAGAAAAAAAATGCTGTCCTCCTTGAGCCTATGTACTTCAATTTGAAGTGAATAGAATAATAACAATGCTGCAAAATGAAAACCTTAAATTTGATTTTTAATACGTGCTTACATGTTTTAACTGATCTATTTCCAATGTAAGTTGCTTTCAATGATTGACAGAATAGTGAACACATCATTCTTAATAAACCATTGCAGAGACTTTTAAATTCTTGGAACTTTAAGATGATGGGTAAGAGAAAGAAACAACTCCACTATTTCCTAATTAATTTTTGCCTGTGTATTTATGCAAGCTGTACTTTTCCAGAAGTCAGTACAAATGCCATTTTATCTGAGGGAAAATAAGATAGAAAAGTATGCGTTTTGGTTATCTTCAAGTAAAATCTAAACTGATGCTTCACACTTTCCCATAGTCAGTTTTATCTGGCTATAATTATGTTTGTTTCTTTTTTTACTGCAGTTGAAATCCAAACACATTTCCTAATGAGGTCATCATCTGGGTTTTTTTCAGTCCCTTTCCGGACACAAGCACACAGCATCAAGCAGCTCAGACCTGAAGAAAAAAACTTCAGTGCCTCTGTTTAGTACCTTTGTGCTCACAGAAAGCAGGACAGCAGTTTCCAATCTTTGGCTTCCAGTTTAGTTTTCTATGTAAGGACTCAAGTAAGATAACTTCTTTTAGTTTTCTCCTGACTTCTGGCAGTGAAAAATATGCTGAAAAAACTGGTTTTGCAATAACAAGTAGAAAGTAAATGTACGGGTGAATACTACATATATAAATAAATAAAATGAAAAAGAGGTGAAGGTAGATACTATAGAAGTGCTGAGAGAAAAAGAAAAACAATGGCATTGTTTAACAGAACCAATTAATTTCTTATCACTGCAAACTTTCCTGCAGGGTAGAAACAGTTGGTAATCTAAATACAACCACAAGATTTTGAAATCATTTGCAATAAATGTATAAAGATATTTCAAAAATAGTCTGTACCTTTTAAACATATAGGGACAACTTTTCATTCTCTGATCATGTCATCCCAGGTCTTATTTTATTTCATGTTTAAAGAAGGCATTATGACATAAACTTCTGTTTTGTTTAGTACTTTGGATCACAGTACATAAATCTAAAGCTTTTTTTTTCAAATGTGAAACAACTTTAAAGCTGCAGTAAGTAATCTTTACAAGGAAACATGTTTTCTTCATATTTGTTCAAATTGTCATCATGTTGTGATAGTTTGGCATGAAACAAATAATCTGTGAAATAATCTCCTCCCAGAGCTGCTATTGTTGTTGGTCAAAAACAACCAATCAGGGCCAGGAGGCTTTGATTGGTTGTCAATCACGTATTTGCTAAATGTGCTTGAAGAAACATTTACAGTTACAGGAAAATTGTTAATCCGCCAATGCCAACTAGTGCTAACATTCATGACAGGCTTTGCTGTCGGGAAGATGCTGTCAGGGTGCAGGTCTTAGTGCTGAGCAGCTCTAAGACCCGCCTCCTGGCTCTGATTGGTTGTTTCCAGCTACTGCTGGGAGCACTGGGTGAAAGCGGAGGAGCTTGACTTTTTCATAGATTATCTAGCTCACGACATAGCTAGACATCACTCAATCTCATGCTACGCTATGCAGCATGAGATAGCGTAGCATCTCATGCTGCATACATGTAAAACAAAAATATTTTTGTTTTACATGTAAAACAAAAATATTTGTTTGAAAGTTACATACTGCAGTTTTAATGATCTTGAAATAAAATGATCACTGTCAGTGAGACAATAGTCTCCATCGTGAGACTCACCTCAACAATTTTGCTCTCAAAATACTGTTAGTTTTGTCTTCGATTTGACAACAGTTGGTGTTAATTCAGATTTTTCTGAAGCATAAGAAGTAGTGAATGACGTAGGAATCAACACCTATTACTGAATTTTAGTTGTTCTGACATAACATAGTCAGGATGATCATTCTTAGTTGATGAGGCTGATTAAATCACTATGTTCTTTGGCTCAGAAAATAGCAATAAAGTGAGCAATGCCTTAAACATGTAGAGATTCACAGCTTATATTATGTGTTCAAAGTAAGAAGAAAGATTGAGTTCTTTTTCTATTAGCTTAAAGCAGTTTTGTTGGAAGCTCTTGTTAGCCTATTTATGAAACTTCCTCCATTATGCATGCTAATGTCTATTTCTGCAACCTCACTTCTGTCCACATCAGATAAAGTCCCATTTAGTGGCAGCGACTTGCTGAGTGTTGAAAATGACTGCCCAGATGAAATGAGTTTTGCTTAAGTTTATTTTAGTAAGCATTCAAACGTTACATTTAATAGCAAATCAGTTTCCTACATCTTCTGACTCGAGTATTTTTATAAAGACGGTCTGACTGGAACCAAACACTGAACATTCATGAACATCTTTTTACCAGATGCCTTTATTCAGGCTAGAAAAATACATTAAAAAGTGAACGTTTTGAACTCACAGTCCCAATCCAAATTTAGAGTGTTTTGACACCTGATAGTCTGATACTTATTTCAGTTGGGGACAAAAATTGCAACATTTGTTCCATTTCCAGCTGCTGTGGTTCTCTTTCTCACTGCATTGTGTCAAATGATCCATCAACCTGTTCCACCCTGTTCCCTGCTGCACCAAGAACCACTGAAGTAATGACATGAAAACCTTTGAAAAAACATGAGTGCAACTTCCTTTTTCAAGAATTGCGCTCAATGTCTTCTTCAGCGGTTCTTGGTGCAGCGGCTACACAGGCGAGGAGGTGGACAGTCCCACCAACTGTAACAAATGTTGTAATTTTAGTTCTCAATCAAACTGAATCTATAAATTGTGAAAATACCTTTTGTCTAAACAAAAGAAGTCATCATCTGGGTTTTTTTCAGTCCCTTTCCTTTTGTCTAAAATTTTGTCTGAAATTTTTGTAACCATCACATTTTATGTTGTATTTTCTGTCTACTCAGCTACACGTTGCTCAGAGAGTGATCCTACAGCATGTCTCTGTGTCCAGATGTTTCTCGTACAATTGCACTGTAGACTGATTTATATGCCTTCAAAACATCAAGAGCAGAAGGCCGGAGTTTAGGGTCCACATTTTTGCATTCCTTATGGATCTGAAAAAGATGAAAATGAACTAAATCTCCACCTGAAGTCCTTCCCATTATGAACTGTGTCAAATCTGGAATCTTCCAGATATCTGTCTTTTCATCGTACTTTGGCATGAGATCATCTGAAAATGGCTGCCCACTGTCTCTGAAGGGCCAAAGCTGCTCTGGGGCCACGAAGTCTCCAGTGAGCTCTCGGCTGCCGCATTTCACCAGGACGCCCTTAGATGCGTCTACTTGGGGCAGAGCGTCCAGATCGTTCACCACCAGGTGGAAGTCATTCGTCAGCAGGACCTGTGAAAGGGTTTTCTCCAGGCTGTTGGAGTCACACATGACCCGCCGCCCAGCAGGGCTGTTGTGAAGGTAATGGAGGATGGAGACGTAGTCTGTGGCCAGTCTCAGCCGGAAGTGCCAAGTGTTTAGATGCTGGTATTTCTGCTGTGCCAGAACGTCTTCTAGGTTTAGCAGAGAGCCGTGTGGATGGTGCTGGGTAACTATAATGTTGTCTTCAAGGCAAAACCCCACCAACTGCACCACCTGTGGGCCCTGAAGGTCCAGTAACATCGACAGTCCATGGAGAAAATCTTCTCGGTATTCCAGAGAGGCCAGTTCAGACAGAGCCACCTTATGACCTCTCCATTCTGCCAGATAGACCTGAGGAAAGAAAACACAGAACATTCCCCTTATATTTAAATTATGGTTGTCAATGTTTATGTGTTAGTGCATGAGATTAATGGGAAAAGTTGCCTCACATTCATATCTTTAAACTCATCTATTAAACCGAGACTGAATTTAAAGGTACACACACCTTCTTCACAGCTCCCAGGCCAATCACCTTTATCTTGCGTACTTCTGATTCAATCTGTGAGCACTGGAGCCAGGGGCTACAGTTCTTCATGACCGGCAGTTTAAAGTGTTGAGGGAGACAGCCGGAGTGTGTGTTCACCAGCTGCTCCTCCGACTGATACACAGCATCCAGGTACAGGTATATGAAGGCACTGCTGAGCATCAAAGCAGCAAGGCAACCAATCATAACTGGAAGCACCAAGGAGTTAAAGCTGCTGCTGTGGTGACCCATGTTACTCTGCAGGTAAAGGACAAAGCACATCAAAAATGGGTGAAAAGATGATCAAATAATTATCATCCCCACTGTATATTTCATCTGCATCATAATATCCTGGGTGAAGGAATCCAAAGATACATTTGTGGTTGCAGTGCAACTTACTAAAGGACATTTAACCAGAAATAATTAAATGTGTGTGGATTTAAATCTTTGTGTACTAATTTTGATCCTGTCCAGATTTGAGGAAATCTAGAATAAACTGTATAGAATAGATTCAAAACATCAAATTCTGTTTTCATAATTCCATCCAAAAACGTGTCCAAATCATTAAAAGCTCTAAATTACAATGAAATAAAGTTGAGACGTTTCCTAACGCTTTTATATTCAATAAACAGCCAATAATACAGTATAAATGTAAGAAACATAAAACACTTCAGTACAGGAAAAAGTTCAGTCCATCAATTCAAAACCATGGAACTCACATTCATTCATTTCTATACATATGTTTTTTTCTGTTTATCGAGATGATAATGGCTTACAGCAAATGAAAACATTTTGAAAATGAAATATTTTTTTTTATTGTTTAGAGGTTCTCGGACATTTGGAATATTACTTGAGTCTTAGTTGAACCCGGGCCACACTTTGGACACCCAGACTGAACCAAACTTCTCATCCTCATAAACTTTTCATCCTCCAGTCAGCAACATGACTATGATGCCCGTTTATTCCAGTGGAACAGGACTAATAACATGCCAGTCTCTCTCACTGTGACACAGTTCATTTTCACAACATGCTATTGTAAACAAAGCACAAATGTTTAATGTGCTAAAAACCGAGAACACTGTGTGTGTTATTTCTCTACTCTCCGTTTATCAGGCATTAGCGCAGCCACCACGTCAAATCCAGCCTCAATCACAGAATCTCACCAGCTGATCCTGACCATCAGTTTTTGCGTGCGTACCTTGTAATTTGACAAATCAGCGTCTTCATTTTCCCCCCGATCTGCTTCTTCTTCCTCGTGGTTTATTAACGCAGCTTGCGACTGCAAAGCTGGATTACTGCCATCTGGTGGATTTATCCATTTCATTTTTTTTCTTACTTTTTATTATCAAGTAATTTGTTCGTGTTTCAGCATTTTTTTTCGCTCATTTTTCAGTCTCCCTTCACAAGAACTGACATTTTGTTTTGTTTCAGCTGATTGGATATAAGCTATAGTTGTTTATCTTGCAAAACAGCTCCAGGTTACATTTGAAGTCAGTCACAACTAAAATGTATTTTTTAAATTATATGTACACAAAGTAATGCATGAGCGGGGACGGCAAATGATAAACTAATTCCAATAATTTTGTTTTTATTTATGAAAGACTGCACAGAGATCTGTTGATTATGGAAGAGATTTTTGGCAAAGCAACTATTTGCCAAAAAAAATTGGGCTTCCTAAAATAGTGGCAAGAAGAAAGTCATTGTTTAAAGCAAACCACAGGAGGTCCTGAGAGGGAAACAGCAAACCTGGAAAGAGAAAACCTGTTCAGCTAAAACTCAACTTGTATTTTGTTTGTTAGTTTGTTTTTTGTCAGGCTGCATACAAAACGTTAGAGTCGGACGGAAGAAGCAGTCACTAAATGTTTGTTATGTAAATCACAAACAAACAAAAAACATAAAAATGTTAGTTTTTATGTCAGTGCTGTCAGTTGCATTCTTTGAATGACGTCATTGCATGAAAAGGACTTTAACGTGTTATAGTTTAAGAAAACACCGGCTTATAATGCAGAACAGAAATATATTTAAAAAGCGTAGGGAGAAAAATAAAGCATTCATAATTTTTATTATGATAGTTTTCTTTTTATTACAGTAGTACTTGTCTTATGAGCAGAGCACTGAACATCAGTTTCCTATTAATTGCTCAATTAATTTTATAGCTAAACGTCGGACGCGCTGACGTAACGATTCAATAAGGTCATACGTCACTTCGGCGTCTACGTATGGTGTCTGTGCCGCCCACGGACTATTATGGTCAATCATGAGCTATTTAGTGCTTTTACTCTGAAAGGGGAAGTGAAGACGTGACTTCTTACAAAAAAAAAAAACAAAAAAAAAACGGGAAAACAATCGTCATCTGGAAAGACGTGCTGCGACCACCAGCAGGTATTGTACTGTATTCCTTTGATAAAAAATACCAGCCGTATCTTGGCGAATTGTCTTCTCTTGTTTGGTCGCAATTTAATAGAAGTCTGTTACAATGCAAACAACCACCTTTAGCCTACGGAGCTCATAGATATCACTGTTAAATCCCTATTAGCCACATTAGCTACCAATGTTAGAGCATCTCTACAGCGAAGGTGTATCGTTCCAGCACTTGTTAGCTACACTGAGCTCCATTTTAGCCATTTTGACTAGGTGTATCACGCCGATAGTCGGAAAACATAATGGTGATATGTTTGCGCTACCTTTTAGTTCGAAATGGTTTGAGCCAAACATATTTTAGCACAACAAATAAAAACGGCACCAGGTGAAAACGTTGAGTTCCTACATGCTAATCGTCAGAACTGTATTTAACACATTGTTATCCCTGCTTGGCCTTGACCAGCTGTCACCGCAAGCCTAGAAGTCCTGTTTACCACATCAATGGCCATTTAAAATCATTCTAAATTCGTTCTTGAGAGTCTACACAGTTGTATAAATGTTCATATTAACACTGCGTAGAGATGTAATGTGGTTGACGGTGCATCGCGCACTCCGTGTGTGGGAAGGGTCTCGTTTCCATAGTTTCCTTTTCGCTCTCAGAGGGTTGTCGTGTTAGCACAGCGCTGACCTTCAACCTTCTTTCCTCAGTTGGATCCACCGAGCTCTGTCAACAGCGATGAGTCATCAGCAAAGCAGAGCATTTCAGCGAGTTTTAACACTGAAAAGCATCCTCTCAATTTAAAGTTCAATGATACAGACAGCTGCTTCCACAGAGGAGACTATCACTGAGCTTTGTTGTAGCACTAAGTAGGCATGTTCCCCACATTTTTAATATTTATATGTTGAAACAATCAATTTATTTATTTGATTAGTCCCACAAGTGGAGAATTTAAACTGTCATGACAGAACAAAAGAGTAACAGAAGTTAAAGAACTGTACGGAGTGGAACCATACAAGCTAAAATGGAAACATAAATGTAAAAATGGCGGTAAAAATATATATTAAAAAAATACATGTATAAAAATATATGTACACAAGTTTACATTTACAAAACCGCAGTTGCATGTACATGTACATACACTCATATATGCACATGCACCCACATAATTACACTCCTAGAAATATTGCGGATCAACAGGAAACTACCAAGTCCATAGAGGAAGTGTGTTTGTCAGCCTGTTGTGTGAATGGTCAGCTGCAAGGGTTGCTGTAGAGTCTCATAGCAGCTGGAAGGACAGACCTTCTGAAGGAGCTGCTCAGTGCTGTCACATTCCCTGCATGGGGTGGGTGACATTGTTCAACAGGGGTGACAGCTTAGCCACCATTCTTCTTTCACACTCCACCTCCACTGGGTCCAGAGGACATCCTGGAACAGAGCATGCCATCCAGATCACCCTGTTCAGTCTCTTTCTGTCCCTGGGAGAATGCACCTTTGCAGTGGAGAATGCATCATGTCTTTGGTTTCTCCTCTGTTTATCTGGAGGTAGTTCTGCTTGCACCACTCCTCTGTCATTAGTTCTCCATGGTCCCCTTCTGTGATGAGGCAGCTGTTGTGGAGTCATCCAAAAACTTTTGCAGAAAGCAGCTTGTGGCGTTGTCAGAACCATTCCCTGTGGTGCTGCAGCTCCGTCGGAAACACAGCACTCAGGCACTCATGAGGCGAGCTGGTGGTCCACTCCTTTCTTCTCCTGCTTGTCTCTCAGAATTGTGGGTCAGATGTAAGAAACTGGAAACGCTGATAAAACATAATTCTCACAGAGCTGCTGACAGTGTCCAGGTGAGAGAGGGAACAATGACACACAAATGAATAATGATGAACTAATTTTTGAATTTTATTTAATAAATTTTTTGGCCTGCCAGTTGTTAAAATTTGCCAATTATTCCCCCGTGGGAAAAAAGTTTGGACATCACAGTAAAATTACATAAAGAAAAAGCATTAGTATAAGATCAGGATTATCTATGTGCTTTGTTGTATAATGAAAATAAAGGAATTTTCATTCTGATTCAGGAACTCAGTATTGTGTATTTTAGTTAACTTTTATGTTCTTATGGCTTGTTTTCCCCATTTGCAGCCTGGTAGTGAACGGCAGAGAGAAACCTGAAGGTGTGATGGGACTCCTGGTGGTCAGTTTGGTGGTAGCGTTCCTCCATCAGAGTCACAGTGTGGAACTACAGCCCTCCCTGTATGGGTCGAAGAGGTAAGGAACTCCTGAAATTCAACTCAGAACCTTTTATTTGCTAAAAGACTCATGCTTAAATATCTACATGCTGTTTATATTGACTGAAGTTTAAATTCTGTGTTTCCTGCTGAAGGTACTCCCAGTAATGACAAATGGAACAGATGTGCTTTAAATAAATAAAGGAGAAGTGTATATGTTAATAATGGAGTGTGTGTTGTTGTCATTCCTAAGGGTTTGGGAAAATGTCTTAAATCCCAGTGACTGTGTGTCCAGAGTCAGGCCGCCACAGCTTTTTAACTCTCAGAATTTCACAGTGGATCTTCGAATGCCTAGGGTTTTACCAACTGAGGTGAGTCTTTTTATCTACTGCTAATTTAAGACAGTAATGATAAGTTTTTTGGTTCACCTTCATATAAATTTTACGGAGAACAGTTGTGTTTGGTTGAAATAAAGTGATGAGCCTCATCCTCTTGTTTCAGTCGGACACTTACCTGTGCATGGCCTTTCCTGTGCCAACTAGTCGTGATTCATATATCGGTGAGCAAGTCTTCACTTTCCCTTAATGAAATAGTTGTTGTAAATAAACAGATGTTTGGTAACGCCATGTTTTTATTAACCATGATTGACAGCATGGTCTGTTTGAATTAAAGCTTCAGTATGCAACATTTCTAAAAATATGATTTTTACATATTTGTTAAAATGGAGAGTACAATATGAGATGAATAATCTTTGCCTCCTCGATATGGTCTTATAGCAGTCTGCAGAAATACACCGCTTCCTGTCAGAAACAGCAAATCAGAGCCAGGGGAGGGTCGTAGTGCTGTCAATCAGCCACCAATAGCAGTTTTCCTGTAACGTTAGGTTGTTTTCCTACCACTGGAACAGCTGGAGCTCATGCATGCTGTGCAGGAGAGGGAGAAAGCAACACGTGCACAAGAATGATTAACAGCATTACGATTCTCCTGCTGGCTCTGATTAGTTGTCTCTGACTGGAAGCAGATGGCAGTAGGGCAACAGGAAAGAGGCAGGGGATCTTAATCAAACATCTTCTTTTAGATTATTTGTTTCATACTGTCAGGAATAGTGAGAGGAGTAATAATTTAAAAACATTTTATAAAAGTTACTTACATAAATATTAAATTCATATGGAAATTTTGAAAAATTGGTAAAACTGTCTTGATTTTGTTGAAAATGTTTCCATTAAGCACAGTGTGTTTCCTCTCTCAGTGGACTTCCTACCTCATGCCAGTATGGACACTGTTCACCACATGCTGCTCTTTGGCTGCCAGACTCCTGTCTCCACCAGCAGCTACTGGTAAGACCTGCATGTCATAGCATGAAGAGAATTATTTTTACAAGCTGGAGCTCAGTTTTGAATGATGTATTTTCTCTCATTATTTTTAAGCCTTCTGATCCGTTAAAACACCCCATCATGATATGAGAGATTGCAGTTGACATGTACATTAGCTGGTTGGGAACAGGAGAGATGCCAAGAAAATATTTGTAAACCTTCTATCATTCTGGCATTCAGTAAATAGAAATAATTTTGCTGATCCTAAATGACTTCAAACAGGAAAAGTTTAGTTGGATTTAATTTAAGAGTATAAAAAAGGTTGTATGTCTTTTCATGGCATTGGTTTTATCCCTTCTCTGTTCAG